TTGCGACTGTTTAAAAGTTTCTTCTGTTCTAAGAAATAGAGTGCAACTACGGTAAGCCGGTAAAGTTTATCTATACTGCTCTGTTTTGTCAACAAAAAGTGGGATCAATCGGAATTCTGAATAACGTTCATAAAGATAAAATAATCGTAGTTATACTTATGATCATATGTTCAAACGAAACGTAGCTTCGGTAGACAGGTGTTCAGTGTGTATAGTTTGGACCTACCTATTATAGTTCCTTCATTTGAAGATTAAGATGTACTAAATTTAATTCCAGCAGTCTGTTGGGCCTATATATTGCCACTATAAAGTTAGCCCAGTTTTCAGTAGCCTTTTATTAGAATTTGCAAGTGGCAGGCTTCTGAAAAAAATTATTCCCATTGTAACATTGGCCGCTGTAGTGTTTGGGAAGCGCTTCGTATCTTTAAGGCTTCCTACTACATTGTTTTAGGTTTACTATACAAAAGCCTACTTCCTTTCGATCATACCCATCGTATAATAATCCTTTACTCATATAATACGGACGAAGGAATGCGGGCCGAAACACACCATTGTTTATACATCGGGGACAGATTTTCTAGCCCCCTGTCGGGTCGTTGACGTTCATGTCATCCTATAGCCTGGCTAGGTAATAACAGCAATAACAAGACCAATAGCACCGAGAATTTAATGTACATCATGTCGATATCGATGTCGTATGCCGTCGCCTGCAGAAATATCGCCGCATACATACGTACGCTTCAGAGATTAGTTAATTGCCTGTGGCCGTAGTATCGAACACGCGCCGGCTTGTGAGATCACCCGGCCTCACTGTATGACCAACTCCCATGTAATCTCCATCAGGTCCTGCAAATTCATACAAGTTTCATTGAATGGTTTGCGAGATGGCGAATTAGTAATTTATATATATATATATATATATATATAAATTACTACTAAAACGGGTACCAGGCGTACACTGAGAGTACTTCCGCATATTTTTGTTACGTACGTAATATTAGTGGACAATGTGTCGTGTGCCAAAGAAGGCCTCTTGTTATAATAGATTATTGATTTCCGTTGTTTCTGCAAATATACTACTTGTTCTATTGACAGTTTGAATACCCTGGGAAATGATGGTTACCGTAACTATGAACCCTGGCCCTGGGCATGTTTGTATGTTTTTCGGCTTATGAAAACTATGGTGTTTGTATCCCAGTTCTTTTTTCGTTTGCGAAGCTGTTAACTTTTTTAACACTATGAGTAATTCCAGTATACCTATCGTGTCTGCTAAAATAGCTGATGAGATATATGCACACAATGACAGCTTCCATACGTTATATTGCAGTAGTTTCAATCAACCGAGTAATATATTAAATTAGCCATAAAGCTATACTGATATCAGTGTATTTCACCAATAACTATCTCTAAGAAAAAAGTAAAATTTGTGAAGCATTTTTGCAGAGCCAGTTTCAATAAATAGATCCACGGTTCTTCAAATAGACATAGATATACTTTCTCTGAATTTACTACGAATTGTCTATGAAAATTTTAGTAGAAGGTTTAAAGGTCTCCTTGACTTTTCAACTTCAAGTCTTCTAACTAACGCAGGAAGTTCCGTAGAAAAGCTGGTCTAGCAGAAACAGAAATGAATAACCTTATATTCTAGCTTCTGGCTCATCATAAACTAGCACTTCGTTCGGCAGGCTTTTCTTTTCGTTTATTAGTAGCGGCTTTCACATAGCGGTGACGACCGAATTTACATTTATTGCAGCTTTGGTCGTTGTCTGCCATTGTTTCTCGTGACATTCGGATGGATGGCGTGTTGTGATGTACATATCTTGTGGCTAGAGTTTTTAGCGGATGATTGCTAGGCCGTCTTGCCGCAGACGATGTTGCTGCTATTTCTGGTCACTTGCGGTCCTTCTGCAAGCTTGTTCTGTTTTCGCAAAAACCCATTTACGCAATGCGGCGTTGTTGCTGCTTTGTCATTGTGATCATTGCGGCTGGCTCCACCAGCCGACGACCTGTCACTCACTCACTCACTTGTTTGGTTTAACGAGCAAACGAGTTGGCCTTCGCCGGCTGGTCGTTGCCTTTCGGTTTGTCGTTAAGCTTAAATGTTCTAGGAGATAGATGTAGAAGGTGACGTCTAAACGAAAAACAGAAGCCTGAACCTGAAGAGGCTTCTTTGTCCGTGGTCCTGAGTTGATAATGATACTTAGTAGAGCGTCAGCTGGACTTTGCCTACCTTGCAATTCCTAGATTTTTTTTAAGGCTCGAGCAATGATTTAGCACTCACTCGCCCCACGTCTCGTTCCGTTATCGCCAGGCCGGTTTCGTTGCTATTAATTCTATACGGAAGTATGTCACTATCTGTCTTTGAAGCTTGGGATGATTCTACTTCAGATTAGTGATGGGTGACATTCTAAATGAAAACAGATTATTAGTGCGCTCCTTTCTGACCACCTGAAGCGATGTTCCATTCGATCGTTCCTTAAGATCCACCAATTTATCGGGTATTAAAAAGGTCTAGTGTTACAGTAAGACGATAGGATATTGTACTGAATCACAGATCAGTCTTCAAGTCACTTATATGTGTGGAGGAAAAATACCGTTTTGAGAAATGTGATATTTACGAACCAACCACAAGCTGGCTTTCACTGCACGTAAGTGCGTGCTGAAATCAGTACGTCGGTCCGATTGTTCTACACGTTTCATGTATGCGCGCTACGTGCAAAATATGTGCGTCCTCTTTACTGAGCTTTATATTTTTCATTTAAAGGTTTAGCCCATCTTGGGAGGGCAGAATTTTCGCGATAGTACAATGCTAGGGTTGAAGTCGAAGCACATTCTCGAGTAACTAGTGTATATGTGACTTTAGAAGACTCCGGTAAATTCCTTTAGGTTTCGGTAGCCTGTGTTCGGCTGCGTCTGATTTTCTGTTCAAATATTGGATTTCTGTTTGTTTTGTAACGTAATATCATTTCGTTGTGTCAGCATGGCGTGTTGCATTTAATCACACAATATCACTTAGTTTGGTTGAAGAGGGAAAATCTGTTGTATAGCACAACATTTTAATGAATGACCTTCATTAAATAGACAGCCACTTCAGCTAGGCCGTTATTAGGTCCTTGATCACTTTCGAAAATCTGCTCCCATCAATGGACGACTTAGATGAATCGAAACCAATTCCAAGATATCTATGCTTTACTATCAAGCCTGTGGCTCGAGCGTGCAATATTCGTTGTTGTTAGATTTCTCGTTCAGGAACCCAATACTAACTGGTACGAAAAAACTATAAATGAAATATGCCGCTTTTATACCGGCAGTCTCCTGAGCAAGTAAGGAAACTCAAAATACACTATTCCCTAACTAAATCGAGTTCTTTGAACAACCTAACTTCCAAACAATGAGGCTATGTTTAAATATATATATATATATATATATATATTTTTTTTTTTTTTTTAGTTCACTAGAGTACGCAAGTCCCAACATCAATGTTAATTTTCCACTATCCGACCATTCTCGAACCGAACATCCGAACATTTTGTCAACCTCAGATTGAACTGGTAGTTATAACGGCAAACACCTATTATTCGGTAGTGTTATTTCCATCTGGTACCTTCACTGTTTTATTAATCTATGGCCAAGTCCATGTAGACGAGGCAAGTCAATTTCCTACCTAACTACTAGCTTCTACTGAACAGAAAATCAGTATCGACTTGTTCTCTATATCCTAGTAATTACTCAAAACGCTGTCATATATTTTAATGTCTCAAATATTTACTTAAGCATGCATCTACCCTGTTACCATTATCAGAATGGTGTAGTTATAGTCACAGGAGTAGGAAACACTAAGTTACTACTAGGTTATTTGGATAAATAGAATGTCCTGCTGGTACCAAAACTATAGTCCTGCTTACAACGTTCGTGACTAGTGTCATGCTAGAGCGTGTCTTCGAAGTACCAATGTGTACTTTCGCCGCAGATGATCACCAAGTGACATGTGACACAGCCATCTGCAGCTAATGTCACGGAAAAAAACCATTTAAGGAAAAATGTATGTTTACTTACGAAGATTCAAAGGCATTATCCAAATGCAGCTTATCAACGACTTGTCTACTTGATCTAATTATATATGTATATATATATACATATATAATTGTCGAAACTCTGTTGTTGGGCTACTAGAATTAAGGGAAGTAGCATTGATTCTAGAAGTTTTAGACAATAAGGATGTTCCAAATATAATCTATATGGGCCACTCACTTCTCTTACTGTCAAAGAAGCTTCTGCTGTAAGCGGTCTGGTTAAACAGTTTTTGGCCCATATTGCCCCGCTCCATCAGCGTTGCCTACTCATACAGTCTTACAAAGCAGACGTGTGTTTCTCTGCAACGGTTATATATAAATGTTTATTATTATTACGTATTTCCTTGCTTACGCTAATCGCAGTCGGTTTTAGGGCCTCGATCATCTTATTTACTGGCGTGAAATAGGTGTGAAACAAATCTTCGAAACGTATATTTTAAGCAGAGATCCCTCAACACATTTGAACGTATTATGTTTTTTGGCATTGATTTTGAGTATGATCTCAACTGGAGATCAAGACTCAATCGATTCTTTCTTTAGTTTTTGTTGGATGACAAAATTAAGATATATTTAGTAATGCCAAAAGTATTCTACGGACGATTTACGGCTAGTCTAAGCAAAACCTTAGGTATTGTATGACCTGGCCAGTTTTAGTTATGACCTCGAAATGGGGACAGATTAAAACCTGCCACACTATACCGGTGCCCAAACGTGCATATACAAGCATAGAACAAGTAGGATGACACAGTATGGTGCATTTCCGTCGATTCGCTCCTCATCATAGGCGGATTAAATGCACGTGAGGAAATCCTCTAACCTGATATAGCAGATTGTTGATCTTTGCAAGGAAGGTTTAACGGGCGAGCAGACGCTATTTCTTTTCTCATTTGTCAAAAGCCACGCAACGGATGTCAGCTGAACTGAAGATGTAAACAAGACATCGAATCGATGTGCGCTTAACGGCAAGGCTGCGAGCTAACATGGACCGTTTTAAGGTTCTGGAAAAATCTTTCGCAAAACAACAATGACGTGAGTAAATCAAGTGAGCGTTGTCCTCACCAATAGACTATTGGACATTATCCAGGACGATGGCGGTCGAGATAGGAAATATGTCTCCAAGCTAGCTTAAGCAGGGCTAATTCAATTTTCGCAGATGTATTTGTGTCACAAGTATTCCCTCTTAGCTTAAAGATATAGACATATGTACAATCTTATAGGCATCGTTTCCTTTGAACTTACGAAGCCCAAGGTATATATATATATGTATATACACTATCCCAAATTGTGTTGTCCTATTACATAAACGTTTGCTTGTTCTTTGATCTTTACAACTGCTATATCTAACAGCGGTAACACATATAGACAGTAGGAAGCGAAAGCTGTCTTCTTCGTATGGACGACAATGGGCGGATTTACATCAAGAAATCGTTATAGGTCGTTGCCTCAGTTTGAATCTAAAACAACTAACGAGGCTGTCCCGGCGTGGGAAACATGGTGTACTACATTGTTTCGGCATCGGCTATATAATACAACGTTAAGTCAGTCGGCGGAGCAAGCGCAGGGGTCATCCCGGTTTGAGGTTGAAGAAATTTCTCCAAAGATCCTTAAACAACTATCGAAAGCTCGTCGAGGTGCTAGGTGAGTGAAATCTCAGTGGCTTGTTACTTAATATTGTCTAAGTAATTCTTTTTCTTTTATGGCATGCGCAAACGTACATATGTATGTACGAAAAGAAGGCTTTCATTAGGAATATTCTATCCTTTAAAAAAGAAAGGACATTCATCTCACTCAATTTCGAAGCGCGTACTGCTGACAGAGGTGAGCAAATAAATAGTTCAATGCGTCCTGCAATATGCCTCGTTGTGGTCATCTTTTTGAACTTCGGCTACTCTCTATGACTGTGTCTCCCTACCATTTGTTTCTACCCTTTATTTGCTGGATATGAGTGGATTAATGCCACGGAGATACATCATCGAAATCTTCTTCTCGCTTGGAGCGACCGTATTCCGGGCAAATAGTTTTTTGTTTTTGATATTTTTCATTTTAGCACTCTTTGTAATATCTTTTTTATAAACACATTCTTTCTACTAGGAATTTGACCGGGGTGGGTCTTATCAAAGTCATCTGAAAATGGTTCTTTTTTAACAGACTTGGTAAATCGTATGGCCGCTATACAAGCAGCTATTAATTAATTTAACCAATAGTGCTGTAATTTTTTGTTCCCTATTCTTTTATTTCGTACCTTATTTTACTACTTATTAGCTTCTGGTCATAACTTTTGACCGAATACTCCCACAGAGAGATAATAGGCATTAGATTGACCAGTAGACAGACTCGTTCCCGAACGGAAACATTCGTGTTACAGAACCTGACTCACTGTTCTCAGAACGAGAGCCTCAGACGAGCACCTTACCTCTGTTGGGTTACGTTTTCACTTAATGGCCAAATTTGTCTATTTTAATCTGAATTGAAGGTAACGCATTGGATAGGAAAGCTAAAAAAAAAGATTGCTTAATTTTATTAACTCGGTAGGATTAAAATCCGTTATTTATTTAAACCGATCTATTTTGTTTGAGCATGGCATAGCTTTAAATGTCTTAGGCGATTTTTTCCAATTTACTCGTGGTTACATCTAATGAATCGCCATGTTGACACTATTTGATTATAGCATTCGTTTATTTATCACTGCATATGTCCTTTTATTCGAAGTTAGTGCAATTTTGTAATAATAATTTGCGTTAGGTACACGGAAAAGCCCTGTAACATGTAATGACTATCACGTGGTACTTTTGGCTAAAATGTATAAGCCTCTAGGGCAATATATATATATATATATATATAAACAACTTTATTTGTTTCAAAGGTTCAAGGACGGTCTTGTTATGCTACTTGGAAGTGATGGCGCAGTCAAAGCGCATTTGAAGGTGCTCTTCGCAGCATGTTGGTACTTTAGTAACGTACCACAGTATTCCTACTGCTACCTGAACGGCTTTACGAAGAAAGGCTTAACTGATCTCGTTAACTTTATTTACCACAATGAACTTCCAAGCAATGTTGAACAATTGCTCGGTCTGAATCAGCTGGCAGAACACATTCGCTATAAGTTTCTTGCGGCACAAACTAGCAAGCTCCTAATCGAGCAGTACGAAGCTGAAGGAAGGGGTGACCAAGCATTACCAGGCCTACTCAACTTGACGAAAAAATTTAGCTTGCCGACCTTGTATGACCATTTGTGTGTAGCCTTGGCTCGATACACTCAGGTTCCGTCAGTCCTGCTCAGAGTTAGCCCGGCAGTTCTGACTGATGTTCTAGTTCAGGACTGTCTGGCAGTCGACGACGAGGACCAGGTAGCGTCCCTCGTAAACAAATTCTACCACCTGCATCCTGAGTATAGCTCGACCGATGTGGCCAGTTGTGTAAGATACAATTTTCTATCAGAGAGTGCTAAACGGTGGTTCGATTTCGAATCAGGTATTGTGTGGGCACCTCGACATGCCTATACAGGCCATTACCTTTCCGTAAATTTGCATGTTCGTCGAGACAGAGTTAAAATAGCATGTATTCTAATCATTGATCGCGTATCGCCTGGTCGACGCCCCATAACAATCTGTACTATCGAAGATTCCTCGGGCTATGATACCGTGTCCAATTCGTGCGTGCGACCTCGACTTGACCACGTTGCGGGAGCTAAAGAAGCCGCCGAATATCGAAGTGCAGTCCACATCGCTTCTGTAACCAGTCGTCGACTGCTTTTCGTCCGTCTGGGCTCAACTGTTCTCCGGGTCGATCTTTACGCCAACGCATGCCAAGTACTATCGAGGGATATAGCTGAATTCTACGTAACTTCCGAAGGTCTTGTAAAAACAGTCAACAGACTGAATGGGAAAGAAACTCTAATCACATCCCGAGCTCACACAGTAATGGCGGCACTTCTGGTGACACCCTGCGATAGGCTTGTGGTCAAACTTGACATTGATTATATGAATGGGAAAATGGACAATAGCTATACTAATAACAGTATTTGCGCTATTGACAACAAAAGCAACGATTGCAATAGAGATGAAGACCCCCTCCTAGTGACGTTCACAGCGGCTGCGAATTGATGACGTTTTTTCTTTTTGCCTAGACGGTTAAAAGCTAGTTTCGACTTTTGAAGTTATACGTAACGTGCTAATATACATAACTATTGTCCCTGTTTAATAGGCGCAAACTGAACAAACGACGTATTGATTCCAAGTATTGATCAATATTGTTAAGCTAATTCTAGAAATTATGTCCAAGTTAAAACCACTCAATAGAATCTAGTTAGGGGAACTCTATGGCAATTGGCTATATATTTGTGTTTATGGAACCGATAAGAATAGATGGTATTTGTTAGTTAACTTTTGAACGAACTCTATACTACCACTATACGTTTAACTATACGTTTTTCAATAAAAGCTACGTGCTTAAAGTGTGTTTGCGTCTCTATTGTCTATTCTGTATTAAAGTGCTCGCTCGAAAAGGCGGAATGGAGTAGATGTATGGCGTTAAATGGTGGTAAAACAATGGCGTATCCAATCTAGAATAGAAACACGTTTCGGTAACGATCATATCATTAACAATATTAAAAGTCTAATGTGGTAGACAAATTTCAATGAATATAGCCTTGTCTGAGCTTAGATAGCAATGCGTTGTATGTCAGACATGGTCTGAGATATAATTTATGTAAGATATGGTAGTTTGGCCTATCACTATGTTCCTAAGGAACTGCTACCGCTAACAACCATAACAATTTATTTGTCGTTATTTATGTAATAAATAACGTGCAATATACATACAAAAGTACTTTTTTTTTAATTCTCATATATAAAAGCTATTTAAATTAACAATATGGTTAGCATATAGTTCTAGCATGTTATACAGGGGTATCTACGATTCAAGTTATCTTCTGCAGGAATTGAAAGAAGGCGGACGCCTACCCAAAAGTAACTTGTATTCTTTAAAAAGTTACGATTAAACAAGCATAGACACTACCATTTGTCATTGCAAAGCATAATACGATAAAGATGGAAAAGACGCTTCATGAATGTGAAGCGAAAAAAATGTACGTGATCGCGCGTGGATGTGACGGGGGTTGCAATTTCGGTCGACAATTATTCATTGAGTCTATACTTCAAGTCGATGGAGTACAGTAGATTTTTATTGTACTGTGAACTAACTTCAATGCTATCCTAGTTCATAATTATTTTTTAGATGAATTATCCAGCCAAACGGATTATAACTTAGTATAGACATTTAACGTTCTAATTTCTGATGCGCTACGGGTGTCACCCCCCGACGGTCATGTACGTTTAATATAACCACCATCCATTGCGACTGAGGCTTCGATTCGCAGCTCAAACTACTCACTAATCATTTTCAAAATATTCGTACCTTCTTTCATCCGTAAATAAGCATACATCAAGCGATAAGACAGAAGTAAATCCAATAACTTAAGCGAAATTTTACGATTCTAAAGATCTAAAAAAACTTGAAACAGCCAACAAGTGCGAAAAATTGACAATGGGGATAAAAAGTGTCAAAGACGAATCGTGAAAGTCATTTAAGCGACCCAACTGATAATCGGCATTCCCCTCTCCAAAACGTATGTTCTAAGCCATTTTTTCCTAGGTCGTCAAATCTTCCTCGGATTTTTTAGGAACCTCATGCGAATTGGCCATATCGCCTAATAATTTATTAGATTATTATTATTTGTTACTATTTCGGTGTAAGTTCGTCCAGTGCAAAGAGACTGGATAAAAGTTGATGGTTGTTCAAATAACGAAAAGGACACGCCGTTTTCGGCCGTACCACCGCACTACGTGGACCGTTAGAAAGTTGAATACACTTCCTGCCAATAGGTCCTTACGTCTAGATCTTATCCAGAACAATATTTGTTGCCATCCTGGCAATGGTGTTTTTTTAGCCCCTGGGGTGTTGTCTACTATACTATAGTATTAGCCAGCGATAGCAAAACTGCTATCATTTTCTGCCACCTTCTTGCCTAAATCTCTATCACTCCCTTGAAACACCTGGGCAGCCCCCCGTAGTCACTAGTGATAAGGATGAGAAACAGTGAGTGCAGCCGCCGGCCGAAATGCTGAAGATGGAAGAAAACCAATATCGGCGTGACTTGAGTCTTTTTCTGAGAATTCCGATCACGAACACAATACACGATCGACCGGGGGCAACGTGTCTGACACACGAGTTCATCCTTTCTAGTGAATGCTTACCCCACCGGAAAACCTCTAGGTTTTCCTTACTCTCGTTTTCCGTCAGTGCAAGCGTTCGGTCCCTCCATTTTCATGGACGTACCATACTCGATTAGGACGGTATTTGTACGAGAAGAGTCTCTGTTGCTTCTAGAACCGAGATACCAATTGTCAATTAATGGTGCTAGTGTCTGGCTCCCAATCACGGAGTTCCATGAACTTTATTTGCGTGGCCGGAGCGAGGCGGCTTTGTAACGTTGTGGAAAAAATGTAGGCTGGCATGGTACTAATTATACGCCAATGACCAATTATGGTGTAGCAAGTATCGTCGGCTATGCGAAGTAATACGGTATGTATAAGCTCATCTCGAGCTGGATTAAGCTATTGTACACTCCGTAAATAGCGTAGGGTTTAAGCGTCGTAGGAAAAAACATAACTGCAGTTAGTAGTTTCAAAGGCATACTTCTTGTGCTCGCTTGGGTAATCGAATCTTTACGGTTATCCGAGATACATGTGAAGCGCCGGATTAAATACGAGTCTGTTTTAAATGTGTCTCTCACTGAGGCCCAAAAGGGGCGCGAAGTGTTTGAAGGAAATACAGGAAACTGAGACAGCCTCTGGCCAGTCGATAAGTACTATTAAATATAGGCTTGTAAACCACGCGTTTGTTTTCCGCTAAATAATCTTCAAACCCATGTTTACATTATAATTACCATTATATTATTATATGCTATTTTTTATATATGGTTAGATAACAATTACATGCATGCCTACGGTTCTCAACAGTAAATGTTCTTTTGTGCTGTTTCACGTTTATCATCTCGTTTCTTTGCGATATATTAAATGCTTGGCCATCTTTACGCCTTCTGCTACGCCTTTCGTACAAGGACGAAACAGAATCTAACATAGATTTGTGTAATGTTCCAAAAATGCAGAGGCTATCACGACAAAGCACGACCTTCGAATTTTGATTTGATGAAGAAGCCCGTTTCAAATCATGCGCACATCGTATTTGTCCGCCATAGTTCTCGTTGTTTGTTTCTGGAAATTTACCAATTGATACCTATCGATGTTCGATACGCTTTTTTTCTAGAATGTTTCCGGAACGTCTCTAATTAATGAACCGTTTTATTTTACGGCGGCCGAACTGAGCGTCAAAGCTAAAGGTGGCGTCCACTTCCTGGACACCGTTTGTGCTGGAAGGCAGCGGTAATATACAACAATAGCGATCAATTATTAAAGGTCAAATCTGTATGGTACGGATGCTGTTTTTTAAAAAAAAATCAAACTCATCGTAACACTCCGATAGTTTCGTTCTTCCACCCTTCTAAGACTGTTTTAGTGTCATTCCGTTGTTCCAGGGCGACGTAGCCTGGAAAGGTTGAATGTTTAGTGCCAGCTAACCACGTCGAGCTACGCTCTCTGAAAAACCTGAAAGGCTAAGGTAGAAAAACGAAGCAGTGTCTTTGTTAAGATAAGGCCCAGAAGACAAAGGGCACATAGCTGTTTAACATGTGCATATCGTTTTCATCATACCACCGTCGCCTGAACCCGTGCGTTGAACAGTGCTGATAACTTCTAGTGCTCAGGGTATCTAGCACAAACTGTAATTTCATCAATCTACGAAAGCCATACAGGCGAGCTAAACGAGCGTAGACGAAAACTCCCTATGCATGTATAATGTGAAGAACTTGCTTCAAAACTTACTTTTTGTTTCTAAATAGGCTGGTCCATTCGTTTTTGCTAAATGGTCCTAAATGTAGACCTCAGCTAAGGCAACCTTTTTGATTCTGGCACAGAGCACCCTAGACGATGTACAAAGGCCTATCTACTACTGGTAAGCAGAAGGACTTCATATTGAGCCATTGATTATCTGAACTGCGTCTAGAACGTAGAGACATACAAATTTCATAGATAGTTCTCATGATTTTAATTTTAGTTATTCTTTAGTTACGCATATTGCTTGAATTTGAATTGAATTTTACTGCTTTTCGAGCTAGAGATACACTGATATTATGGGTGGCTAGAACGGACCGAGATGATTATCTAATTCGTTCTTAATTTTATTGTTACAGTATAGCAAATGTATGTTTACCACTAAATAATACAGAGCAAATTTTCTCAGAGAGCAAAAAATAGCTTTTACAATAGAACACTATTTTGAGTATGTCAAATATGTCCGAGAGAAAAACAAGTACGAGTTCCCGTATACGAGGTGTGAAGTTTTAGAATGATTAAAGCCGTCCGGCTGTAACTTTAGGCTGATTTTTGGGACCTTATACGATTGATAAACATCACTAGCCTAGATGTCGCATTCTGTTAAATGTTGGTAAGGAACGCTTAATGCGAACTAGCTAAGGAACCGGTTTCTAAAAAAGTAAACTTCGTTAGGTGTTTTAGGGGTTTCTTCACAATGAATAGTGTTTTTATTATCAATAGGCCTCCAAGTAATACGACTGCATCGGTTTACAGGCGTCTAACGGCCCTAAATTTAGCCTAAACCCTCCTCCCTGAAGTGTTATTTGGTATGGCCACTTACTGTTAAAGTTTTAAGTAGTTCATGGGTGTATTGATCATACGAAAGCATCGAACGGGCGTGATCTTAACGGTCAACAGTAGCATCGAATCGATGAGGCTATTCAGCAAATATTTCGAAACGGTCCTATAGAGAAGTGATCTGAAGAACTTGTGTTATGAGCCAAACACAGGCGTTCTTGTTCAATTAGGGACGACGTTTTGCCTTCCAGCCGGAACTAGCTTGCAACACCAAACGACTGGCACACTTAGTAAACAAACAGGTCGTAAATACCCCAAAAAAGTGTTTGGGTGTCGCCCATCACAATGGCAGGTCGTAACAGTGCTGTCGCGTGTAAACTACAGTGACATTTCAGCAGACGTATTTGTTTAAAGGAGACACTGAAAGAAACTTTGAAGAAAAATCCCCGGTGAAAAATCGAATGTTAGCGCTTTTTTTTTTTTGTTCAAATAGAAACATTGTCACATTGTGTCAATATATCCACATTAGCGTAGCAACAAACGTTTTTGGCCCTATCTCTCTACCAATATCCTTGTCGAATACGCATGCTTCGTTGGTACACCGCTTTAGTATTGAAATGACTACGTCCGGATTCTATGTCTGGTACCGCCGTTCGACATTTTATTAAGTCGTTGGCTCCTGCACAAACACTTTGAATATTTAATCGATTCATTCTAATTTCTACGAGTAAAAACATTTTATATTTCCAAAAACAACGCCAGGATAATTTGACAAAAGTACTTATTCAAGCCTTATTCATGTATTCGATTGTTCAGAATTTATACCTACCTTCCCTCAGCACAGCAAACAGCAATTAAATATCGTCGTTGCACTATAGCTAAAATAACAACAACAACAACAACAACAAGACAATAGCGACTATTAAATCGATACCCTATAATTTAAAGCCATTTATTTATGTTGTCCTAAACTTGGTCAGCTCGTACAGCATAAGTCTGGTGTACATAATGGGCGTTATTAGTTGAAATAGTCATAGGATGCTTATAAAGC